TAGAAATATCTTAAAATTGCAAAATACATTGTCCTTTCATCATGGGATGCCCTTCCCCATCCTTTTCCTACTGTTCTTATTTAGGGATTAACTTTGGTTCTCTTTTCATTTACCTCTCTGGTAGACATTTTCCTAGTACATTCATTAACTGAGAAAAATGTTCCGGACACTCTGACACTGTGGGTTTTCTTTCCTGCCCAAATCTTTTCCTGGCAAGACAGCTGCAGAAGCTCATAGCTAAGAATGTGCACTGCACAACTTAAGGGGCCGCCCCTGATGCTTCTTTAGAGGAACGGCCCCTCCTGAGTGGTAGAGTTCAATTTGCACAGCTGTGCACATTGCCAGGCCCTCTGGAAGCTGCCCCAGGCCCAAAGACAGGAAAGAAAATTAACTGATTAGTATATTGGAAGCTTCTATGTATTCTGCCTAAAAGGTGCGCGCCCCCAGCCCAGGGCACAGGTACACTGCAACCCACGATTGTGTCTCTTTTTCTCTTCATTCTGTCTTCAACACTGTTGCTAATGGATTCTAAAGCTGCTAGGCTGATTTTGTCAGATTCACTTAAATGTGCTGTTCAAATAAAGTCTGGTCTACAGACTCTGGTTTCGGAAACCAAGCATGTTCTGGCTGTGGGTAGCTGATGTGCAGCTCTATGTAGGAAACACAGACTCGTTGTATACCCTGTGCAGGGGTTCAGCTTTTCTGAAATATCCACATCACTGGATACTTCATACTCCTCAGGGAGTGCCTCTGTTCTCTTCCACATTCCTCTATCTGCAAGAGCTTGTCTTGGATTTTTCGATCAAGTGAACCTCTATCTTATCCTCTAAACAAAACGATACTCTCCCAAACTGTACTTCTAAACAAAGTCCCTTACTTCATTACTGTGTTCTTCCTTACTTTGAGATAACTGTCCCTACCTTTTGCCTCTTGTGACAGTATACATTATAAAAATCATCAGGAACATACCTCTCTCAAAGAATGTTTAAATCTACGTCATTTCCATCCTAAATTCAGTTCACATCCTGTTGTAAGTTTAAGTCAATACCAGTATCATTTCTAACATAACACTAATTCCCAGTATCAACTATTATTTAACATAAATATTTAAAACAGATTTATGCCATCACTTTAGAATAATGTATTCGGGTCTTGTCTCATACAAAACACCACTCCAGTGCACATGATTTATTTCACAGTGCTCCCAGGAGCTGCTCCTAACGGTGTGGTGACATGCTAAAGTCAGGTGAAGCCCCAGTGTCAGCAGATCCTGCTGGGAGTTTGGATGACAATTACTCACCCGAGTCTTTCCGGCTCCTGGGCAAAGGAGCTCCCATGATTGGCTGGGAGGCAATGGATGTGAGGGTGGGGGTAGGGGTTGGGAAACACACACTGGGCTTTACCACCTCTTTTGGGATACAGCAGTGCCAGCAACTGAAAGGGACAATGGCCAAGACTCAAAAGCTGGGAGGTGGAACTCAGCATTAAAAATAAAGGATCCAAGTTCTGCTGGGTGAGCTCCAAGAGTCCCCAACAATACCCCAGCAATTTGAACTTCTACACGACTTTTAAAAGAACACAGTAGCGTTCTGCTTCTGGAAGATGGGTTAAGTATGCTTTTCCCTGTTCTTTCTTCCAAGTGCAATTAAAAAGTCCAGATATTTCACAAACAACATAAGACTCTGAAAGATACAGAGGCAAATGGACCAGCTCAGGATTTCAGGATGTGAAAAAAACACTAGGGTGAGTCCCTGTTTGTATTTGTTTGATTTTATCACCTGGCATATTCTAGACCAGGCCACAGAAGACCCAGAAACGCTAACACTTTATTGGCTCAGACAACAACAAAAATTTACAATGGAAATCTGCTTTCCTTAGGTTGAAGTTTAACAAGAGAAAATCAAGTTTACTAGGTATCAATTCTACTAGGGAGGTCTACCAGTGAGCCAAAGTATATAGGACAGGGACGGGCAAGACGGGGAATCACTGTCTGATGAGCCATGCCTCCTAGAATCAATGAGAAGATGGAGGCAAGAGGAGGCAGAGGGTAGGCCAAAGACAGGTATATGGGAATGCCTGGCTATTACCCTTCACTCTTGATGAGAACCTGGCATCTTAAAAATTACACAAGTGGTGAATGAAAAATACAGTGAGCACTTAAGTTTTTAAAAATTTATTACAGTAAAAGATGACTGCCATAAATCCCCCTCAAAACAACCTCTCCTAAACACACTTATCCCACAATCCTTGCCACTTTCTGAAGCAGTTCTACAGGTCCTCTTTTGTGTATATATGAACCATGATTAAAAAATAAAGCTGAATGTTGCCAAGCACCACCCAACGGAAAGGCAGACTCCTAAAAGCCACCACAGTGCCTCCTCATCTGCTATATTTACCAGATCTGGCATCACACAACTTCCGGCTTTCCTAAAGTCAAAATGACCACAAAAGGTTGTTTTGAGTGCATTCAGAATACTAAGGCACGATGGAGACCGCTGTAAAGTGGTGCTGAGCAGGCTTTAGGATTACTTGATTAGCTTTATATACCCACTTTTGACTGTCCAAGGGCTAGAGCTGCTGGCTGACACACAGTAAGTACAACTCTCCATGCCAATCGTCACAGTATAGGCTGGCATTGGTCTGTGACACTGTGATACCTCTAAGGGCAAGACAAGAGTGCAGGTGAGGACATTTGGCTCTTCTCCAATTGTAGGGCAATAACTGGCCAATCTCAGAGATAAAAGTTCTCTTAATTAGCAAGATTTACTGCCTAAGAATGGCTTTAACTTCTCAAGGCCTTGTTCATCTTTAGGCCTCCTACCTTGGCTATTTCTTTTATAGCCCTACATTCTCCCCAAATTTTTTGAAAATCTATTAAGTTCTAGCAGTTCAGAGAAGTCTTTGTCTTAGCTCCAAAGAGTCCTGACTTTCTTGGACCCAAAAAACCATATTTCTTGTTTATTTAATCCTTTGTCACTATTCGTCATAGACCAGGAGCCAGGCCAAGCTCCTGACTAGAGGCAGTCATGACAGTGCCATGAAAGATTAGAGGACTTCCAGAACTGCTTCAGAAAGTGTCAAGAATGATATTCCCAGTCTTCAAAGTCACTGGGAATATTTTGAGGGAGATTAATAAGGTGTATTTTAATGTAACACATTTTAAACATTTAAGCATTTTCACATACGTTTATATCACACATATGCAATGCCTGATGACCCTGCCAAGTGGTTCTTGTCAAAATTCTAAAGATGATCTTAAGATGTGATAAATGTTAAAGAAAACTATTAATGTGTTTACTATTAAGCTATTAAGAAAACAAAGAGTTCTCCATAAACAAAGAAATGATTCAGAATTCAGGAGACCCATAAGGGATACAAGTGACCACTATCCCTGACAGCAAGGAGGCAGGGTACCCAAAGGAAATGCCTCTGGAACAATAAACAAGGAACTAGGGGCTGGAATTGGATCTGAAGACTCCAAGAATATTGTGGAAATATTAACAGCAATCAGATCAAGAAGTAACGTTTTCTTACTTTATATTCCAAAAAATGATCAGTTCAGGGAATGACGAGAAAACAGAAAACTCCACAATCACTTTAGAACTGCCTGGCTACCACCCCCGCTGACTTACTGGGAGGAGAGTAGATGGCTATGAAAGGAGCCTGTTGTAAAGCCGAGCACACAACTGCTGTCTGAGGCATGCAGCAGGGTGCCAGTTTAAATATAACTTATGTAACGTTAGCACTTGCCAGGCAGATTATAAAAGTGCTAGGAAATGCTCTAATACCTCAGTGGTTAGTTACTACCTTATATAATTCTTTGTATTTGATATTCTGGTCTTATAATTTGTTAATTCTATGTCTATGGATTTCCTTTCAAATATATAACACTTGTAACCTGGTATACTCTGAAAATACAGTATGAAATCACTTTCATTCTATCACAAACATAAATAGTAACATATATGATTACGGTCTATTAGTAAGTGCTTTCACATTTTAACTGGATCCTGTTAGTGCTCCGACAGTATAAAGCAGGCAGGGACTAGAATTACACACAAAAGGAAAGCCCTCAGAAGTTAAGAAGTCGGCCCGCGGGCCTCCACCTTTTGTGTGGCCTCAGAATCCAAACCCATGGCTTCCGATGCTTGCAGTTTTCCACAGTGCATCCGTTCTGCCTGCCAGGCAGCCCGGGTCTTACTGGTCATTTCTGATCAGGCTCAGTGAAAAAGTGGGGCCACCTGCACAGATAGCAGGCTAGTGGCAAGCCCCCGTCTGGGCGAAATAACAGAAAAAGCAGGTTGAGGCATTTTGTCCTGAAGAATAAGAGTATCTGTTGTTTGATCCAAAAGGTTGAAAAGGAGGGAAAACCTTGTCACTGGACTCCCTGACAAAGGAAACAAACTGACCTTCCTCTAAATGCTGGGTTAAAGGAGAGAAATATTACTAACATTTTTATTTAAATGCCCCAAATGTTAAGGTGTTTTGAAAGGGTGTTATACTTAGTTTTAAGGAGAGGCACTAAAAATCCTTTTATTTTTGTTGTGATTTGTTGTACACCTAACATTTAGGGAGCAAACGGCATACAAAGGTATTTTTTAAAAGCCACCTGAGATTGGAAAATAGGCAGAGAAAACCAATCTTGCTTTTCTGACAGCAACACTCAATAACTAATATACTCAACAACTAAAAACTCTTATGAAGAGCAGCTTTATAAAATCTACTACAAACAAGATTTGACCAAAATACTTCAGAATCAAATCTTAGTAATCTTCAGGGAAGAGAGTAACACTGATTCCTAGATCATCGTCGCCATCATTTTCAATTTCTTTTTCACTTTCCTCAGGGACATGTGTGTCCTGTGCTTTGGCTGTGTTTCTCGCCTTCTTAGAGCACGCTGGGCTATCTTTCTCTCTGATCTTCGGATGTGATTCCGTCATTGTCTCTCTGGCCAAAGCATGCTGTAGGCAGCTGTAAAACCTGCAAAGAATTAAGCCCCACTGCTTCATCTGTGTGGTCACAAACTGAATGACTGAAACACGCGGCACTTACCTAAATCTGAGTTTCCTCTATGAGACTTAATAATGCACATTTTTTTTTTTTCGGAACCAGGGATTGAACTCAGATCCTTGTGTTTGCCAGTCAAGCGCTTATCCTACTGAGCCATCTCCCCGGCCCCTCCTCTATGAGACTTAGAAAATAACTGGAGTGGTAATGCATTCTGTGGCTTTATCAGTGTTGGATTAGGAAAACAGATGTCTTTTCAGTTCTTTAACAACACTCCTGGAAATTGGGTTGGATTCACTTTTGTGACTGCCTACCTAACCTCAGTTTCTATCCCAAATGTAGGGGTTAAGCCAAGCAGGTTAAAAACATGGAAGTACTCCTTTGTTTTAAAAATCATAAGTATAAAAGGCTCACTTAAGAGAATTTGAAAAATGAAGTCACAAATACAGGTTACTTCTACTTAGAAATAATCACTTTCTATATTTACTTTACATTTTATTAATGTAGTCTGAATTAATATATTTATTATTATATATACAGTTTTTTAATAGTTAGAATATTACATATCAAACATATTGTTTTTTAAAATTTAATATCTACTGGAAACATTCTTTGGGGCTGAGGAGATAGCTAGGTGGTCTGAGCCCCTGCCTGGCAAGCTCAAGAACCCAGGTTCAATCCCAGGTCCCCATGCCATGCCAGCCCCAGAGCCACAGGAATGCAGTGCTGGCCACCGAATCTGGGCGTGGTGGTGCACACCTGTAATCCCAGTGCTGGGTAGGCTGAGACAGGTGGATCACTATAAGTCCAAGCTGCATAGTGAGACCTCATACCAAATAAATTAATTACTAAATAAATGATTAAAAATTTTAAAAACAAAAATCTTCAAATTATCAAAATAAACTACAAAGTAACACTTTTTAATCCAACCCAATTTCCAGGAGTGTTGTTACCAGCATTATCAAGACTGGCCTTTATTTTCGAATTTTCCTTAATACCAATAGCAGTGTGATAAGCATGAAAATGTTGTGATCTGAATTTATGGCCATTTCTTTAGCACAGATATCTAAAATTGCAATCACATGGTTAAAGGATACAGGCCAGTGGTGGTGAATCTATAGCTTGCGTGCTGCTGCAGTCTGTCCGTGTCCCCGAAAACTCTAAAAGGTTGGCCACCAGTGGCACGGACATTTTAAAACTAGATCAATTCTGCCTGTTTTCCAGAATAATGTTCAAAGAGATATGCTTCTAATAGCAGTACCTGAGAGGGACCACTTCACTCATAGATGGGCTAATAAAGCATACCCTACTTTGACAGGCGAAAGTGGCATCTCATTTTCATTTCTTTGTAAATGGAAGTGATTTTTTCACTTACTAGCCATTTGACTTTTTAAAATACAAATTACTCGTTTCCTTCATTCACTTTTCATTGAATTTTAATATTATCTTAGTGCAGCAATCACTGTAAGCTCCCAGACAACAGGCTTCTCTGCTTTCTGAGGCTGCTATTGTCCAGTGACTGTGCTAGACACAGAAGTCTCTGACGAGGCAGCAGGTGCCCTGTGTCAGATGCCAGGGCTCTGGTGGCAAAGCTGAGTCCCTGAGTTCCAATTAACTTCACTGATCTCCTCATTTACGAAAGGGGTATTCCTACTGTGTGCTTAGCAGGGATGTCAGAGGATTACACGGATGATGGGAAGCTACTGAGCGCAGGGGCTGGCTAGATTTGTGCATGAGGACTATTTTTATGGTGTGCAACCTCATGAGAACAAGGGCCTGTCAATCTGTTTTCTGTTAAATTCTTTCACACAGTCCACATCTGGAACACTCAGTAAACATACGCAGAATAAATGAATGAGTACTGAATAGAAAAATTCAACATGGATCCCTCCCTCCCTCCTTCTCTTTCCTTCCCTCACTCCCTCCCTTTCTTCTTCCCTCTTAAGAGACTGTACCCAGGTGGTCTCCACCACTGTCCTGCACCACCAACACATTATCATCATCATCATCATTATTATTTTAATTTTGAGATAGGGTCTTGCTAAATTGCACTGACTGACTTCAAATCTGAGGTCCTGCTTCAGTCTCCCAACTGGTTTGGATAACAGGCATGTGTTACCACTAATGAACAGGTTGGGCTCTACTTGGAATGGCTCTAAAATTCTAAAACCTCAAATATCCACCAACTCCCAAACAACTCCCATAACTATAATCTATACACTGCAGGATCACTGCATATCTTGTGTGTATTTTAAGAACTTAGGCACTCATCAAGGCACTGTGCTTGGTACATAAGAGGTGCTCCAACAGTATTTCCTCAATGAATAAATCAGTGTCCAACAAGGGGGAGGAAAGGAAAAGGACTAAATAACACTGACAAGTAACACTGAATCTTTTCCAACATTTTCATTCAATGCCCTCTTTATGTCCTTGACTAAACTTTGGTTACCCACAGATATCATTTTCTGTTGTCCCTCTCAGGGGAGGCTGCTTTTTCTCTCTGTACTGCATCTACCACGGAGGTGAGACATGAGGTCCGAATTCAACAGGCTCACGAACTCTTTCCCAAACTACACTACACTGCTTCTCCTGCTCCACCCGCCGTCTACCCAGCTGGCTGAGTCCCTTACACTTACACAAACTTCTATGCTCGGCGCTATCTTTCCCTTCAGGGCCTGTCTGCATCTTGGGTGACTTCAGAGACTGTCTTTTTCTCTGCCCCTTCTGTGCACATCTGTTACCCAGGAGGGATGACCTGACACATGGGTGTGTACATGCCACAAGAAGGCGTGAGCACCCTTCTCTGATCCCGAGATGCTGCCCTTCATACATAAGCCTCCCCGTGAACATGAGGCCTCATCAGCGAAGTGCTTTTTCTGGTCTGTACTTTATCCCAAGAAAATGTAAGGTAGGACTAAATTGCCCTTTTTTTGTTATCATCACAGAGCATTAACAGCTTATATACAACTTTTTCAAACACATTAAAAATGTATTGAATGTAGGCCAGGGGGAGATAGCTCAGCAGCATAAATGCATACCCTCCCCCCAAAAATGTATTCAATGCTTTAATTTCTCATTAAAGAATCTAACTATTCAAAGCTGTGTCCTTTGGTTACCAAAAAGTAACTGGTAAAATGGAACAAAGATTCTTTTTTGCTGAAAATCAAGAATAACAACTTGAACTGTTACTTTCCCCTTTTGGATGAGAAATCCTTTGAGAGTCAGTCAGAAACCTGTTTTGTAATTATGTGCTCTCGCCTCAGCCGATGACCCTTCACCCAGCATTCTAAAAAACAAGTCTCGCCGTGTAATTTTCTCAGCCATTACAGGCAATGGAAAGAACTCTAAATAAATAACAAAGTACATTCAGGTACTGGCACATCTCCCAAAAGAGAAGAAAATCAACTTTTCTTCTGTTTTTTTACCACTCTAGTTCAGATTATTATGCCATAAGACAACTTATACTTAACTCTCTATAGGACAGAGAACTTTAGGCAGCCCTGGAAAAAAAAAAAAGAATCTGGGTCAGGGAACCACCTGCAAGAAAAGCTGGAAATCCTTCGCCTTCTGAAACAGGAACAGAAACTGGAGGAAATCTAGGCTCAATTTCATGCCCATTTAGGCTGACATCAGTGATAAATATCAAAGATGATCCTTCTGCTTATGCATGTATTTAGACTTTAGCTGATTAAACGCTGCTGTTCTAATTCAACAACCCACACGTGGGTGACATGCCCGTGCCCAGTACAAGAAGCTCAGGTAGGAGATGTGTCTGTGCTGCGAAGCTTAGCGAGAGCTGCAAAGCCACATTCGGCATACTGCCGAGAGAAACACCCCCAGATGAAGCAGGAGCACAGCAGAGGTGCGCTGCTGCCATGGAGACGTGGAAAACCCATCCCGCAGGGGAAGTGGCTGAGTGCGGAGGACAAGAAAAGGTAGAGTAAAAACAGATGTGCACAGAAGGGGCAGAGGACAGCAACGATGGAGGGAAACTCTCCTTTCTCGGTCTTCCGGGTGCATCAAGCCTGCATAAGCCCTGCCACCCCTTTTTCTGCTGCTGCTGTGCCTTCCCCACCACGCAGCTCCTGGCTTCCAAGAGCCAGGCTCCTAGGGCTCTTAGGAAGATCTGGTGGGCCCGACACAGTTTCACTGCCTCCTTCCATGAAGCATCTTTTGATTGCACTTCACCACTGAATTGCAATCCAGCTTACTGAAACCTGACAGCATCTGGCGCCTTTTTAGGATTTGTGCCACTTCCGGGTGGAAGCTCTTTCCATGCCTGTCTGAACTACGTTATGCTCCTATAAAAATTTTCTGAGCAGGATCTATGAGTCCACCTGAGTTGCAGTGCCCAGCAGTCCCTCATACTTTATAGCTTCCTCTGTGTACGTCTGCTGAAAGCATATACAATTTCTTATTCATCCCCATCCAAACTATGGCCTCTGTGATTCAATAGAGGTTACTCTAGATGTATCTGATAAGCCTTGCCACCAGGAACTGAGTTCTGTCTAACCTGGGAGAGACTGAGAACAGACCTGGGCTGGCTTATAACTCAGAGTCTGTAAATAACTTGGAAGCAGGTTAGTAGAAAGATGGATGGCCAATGAAGGTTTGGGGGGCCTCCACCAAGCCATTTACTTATCATTATTAAAATCCAGCCATTGCTCAACTCTTAAGAAATTCGAAGACCTAAATGCCAAGAAGTGAAACTGTGAAATTCTTAGGAAAAAAATAGGAGGAATGCTTCATGATACTGAATTTGGTAGTGATTTCTTGGGTAAGAGCAAAAACACAAGCAAGAAAAGAAAATAGACTGGACTTCATAACAACTTAAGCTTTTCGACACCAAAGGATACATACTACTATGAAGTAAAAAGGCAACTCTCAGGATGGGGAAAATACCTGTAAATCTTGTATCTGATAAGGGACTAACATTCTGAATATATAAAGAACTTCTACAGTCAACAACAAAAACCTAAACAGCCCAATTACAAATGAGCAAAGGCCCCACTGACATTAAACAGATATTTTCCCAAGGAATACAGATGGCTGACAAACATATGAAACAATGTCAAACTTCACTAATCGGTAGGGAATTGAAAAGCAAGACTGTAATGAGATGCCACTTTATACCCTACTAGATTGGTTATTGTCAGAAAGTCAGAAAATACTAAGTATTGACAAGGATATGGTTCCGATTTATCGTTGCTGGTGGTAATGCTAAAGAGGCACAGCTGTTAGGAAAAACAGTATTGTTTTAAAAAAAATCAATGTAGAATTGCCACACAGTGTAGCAGTTCTGGGCATATATACAAAAGAACTGAAAGCAGGACTGCGGAGACACTGGGCACTGTGGTTCAGAGCAGCATTATTCATCATAACTCAAAGGTGGAACGGCGTCCACACACCACCGACAGGCCAATGGATAAAAAATGTCTATAAATTCAACAGCATTTGTCAGCCTTCAACAAAAATAAAATTCTAATATATGCTACAGCTTGGATAAACCACAAAGATAATCCAAGTATGAAAGGACAAATATATGGGCTTATTTAGGGGAACAAAGATCTTAGCTAGCTTTCCGTCACCAGGAAAACCACCAAGACAACCTAAAAGGAGACTTACTTGGGCTAATCCTCCTCAGGAGCCTGAGGTGAAGCAGAATGTAAGGCCCCTGAGGGAGCCTGCGTAGAGAAAGCCCCTTGCTTCATAGTAGACAGGACAGAGAGGGAGGGAGGGGAGAGAGCAGGAGAGACAGGGCTTTTGTGACAACATCTCCCCAAGTCCAGTCAACTGTGAATCTACAATGGCCGGACCCTTCATGAGGACAGTGTTCTCACGACCTTATCATCTCCTGAAGCTCCTAACACGGCTGCAATGGTGACTAGACCTTCAACACAGGGAAGCTGGAGGTGAGCTTTAAGGATCTGAACTTTAACAAATACCTACAAGAGCCAAATTCACAGAGATCCAACAGAGGGTAGTATTCACCAAGGACTGGGAGTATGGTTTAAAGGCTACACGGTTTCTGTTCTGGTTGAGGAAAGTGCTCTGGAGAGGGATAATGGTGACAGCCGCATAACTATGGGAAGATCCTTAATGCCGCTGGTTAAAATGGTAAATTTCATGTTATCCATATTTTACCACAGAAAAGGAATTTTTAAAAAACCCAACCACTAGACATAGATTCAATTACTTTGTCTTTTAGATTTCTTTACTCTTAACAATGTTATATGCCAATATATTCAACCCTTTTATTCTATGTCTTAACATTTTCTTATTACACAGCTGATGAAAAGAAGAACATGCTTAACTTCATTCTACTCATAGTCAAGTGGTGGTTTCATTTCTGATTCATGTCCTGACCTCTTATTAATAGACACAAAGAAATCCGTCCTCTTGTAGTTAGTAAATAGATCTTCAAACTTCTTATTTTCACCTGGAAACCATTATGTATAAATGATTTTCCTGTGCCTGGTGTCAGGCTCTGTCTCTTCCAGTCTGCAAATCAGCTGTCTATAAAGCAGGCTGCACTCTAGGGCCTTGTCCTGCTGAGCGCCCGACCCACAGGACTCGGCTGTTCCTGCGGCAAAATCTATCCCACCTAGAAGTAGGCTTCCGAACTGAGGTTTTCAGAAACAAGGGCTTTTTTTTTCAAAAAGAAATATTCTGCCTCTGAAGATTTCCATGTTTCCAGAATATTTTGTGTTCCCACATATTGGGTTTTTTTAGGTTTTATAATTTTCCTATAGCTATCTGAATTATGAAACTGGCCTTATGACGAGACAATTTTAGCACCCTATCTGATTGCATAAGTCATTACCCCAGGTTCTCTCTACATCAGAAGAGTAGCTCCTTTTTTGTGTTTGGCAGAATATACAGCTGTTCCCAAAGGAGACTGCTAATTTGTTCACACTTTCTGAATTCACGTGTAATCTTCTAATCAGTATCTTAAGACACTTTTACCTTCTTTAATTTTTCCCTGATTTTATATGATGAGCATGGCTCTCTTGATGACAGGGTGCATACTATAAGCTCAGAGCACATTTCTGAGTCAGTGGATTTAAAGCATAATTTGATTTTATAGTTGGTAAATGTGGCTCAATTAACTTCACCAGGTGTACAGTTAGCAGCTATTGGGCTATATTTATAATCTTGTTGATATTCAAGAAACTGAGAAAATGAATTTTCCAGCTTCCTTGTTTTAGAACGGAGTCTCACTGGCTACTGCCTAACAAACGTAGTGCACTTTTGGATGGACATGAATAAGCCCTTGTGTCCATTAACATCTAGGGTTCCGTGGACCCTGGCTACTTGCCAACAGCTTACCTCAAATCACCACTGCTGGGCAAATGTTTGTACTCTGTGGCCAGGTTTCCACGGTCCCTTCTTATCAGTTGGGGTCTAGCTAGAAAAGTATGCCCTTATCCTCTAAGTCATCCACTGGTATAATGATTAACTTCTCTCCACTGCATGTAAAATAATATGTTATAAACAATTCCTGAGAGAATCAAGGAAACAGTCTATTAATTTTGTGAATTCTATGGTTCAGATGAGGAACCTTGGTTGAGAAAGCTTGGATGGTTATATGGATGTGGTTATAGGTTTATTTTCATGCACCTGTTGATGGGGAGAAGGGCTATCCTCCTTGAAGAGTCCACGACATGACAGGGGGACCACTCATTATGCTCATGCAATCTAATGTTTGCTAATAATTATTATTTGCTATGCATTTCCTAGGAGTTAGAAAAGAAAAATGAAGCTCAGAGAGCAATTTGGTGGAGCTGGGGTTTGAACCTGGTTTTGCCTAAGGAGACTAGCTCTTTTTTTTTTTTTTTTTGCAGAGCCAGGGATGGAACTCAGGCCCTTGAGCTTGCCAGGCAAGTGCTTATTCAACTGAGCTATCTTCCCAGCCCCGAGACTAGCTCTTTTTTACCACTCTGCACTGATATCATTGGTCTTGACTGATTCAAAACGTTCTAGATTTTGAAGCATTTTAAGCAGACAAGCGGAACAATAGATTCCTTTGTACTTTATAGATATGATTCATATTTTGTATGATGTGGAGAATCACACAGCAGAGATGTACGAGACTTCCTATGAGTTAATGAGGCTGCTACGGTGGTCTTGAGTGAAGACAGTGCCAGTAAAGATGAACAGAATAAGAGTTGAAGAGCTACTTAGGCAGTAACTGATGAATGTGTGGGAGCCACATGAGCAGAGAGAAAGAAAACAGGAGGTTAAAGTGAGAATCACTTGGCCACCTTGCCTTGAGCAAATTGAGATGTGTAACCTCGTGCTGGTAGTTCAGTGGCATTATCTTCATGTATAAAAGGCAGTACAAGATTTAATTTACCTATAAATGTTCTTTTTAGGAAAATTTTGGAAAAGAAAATAATGCCAAGTTTTATTCATCAGGATGTGAAGTTTAGGAACGATAAAACTGTGTGTACACTGAAAGCTACCTCCTGCCTACTTGGCCAACTGTTGTAATTCTAGATCTAATCTATGGGCATTAGGGGACTAGAGGTGTGAAACATTAGGCTTAAACTAACCAGGTGGTTCCCATGCACAGGATCCAGATCCAGGGCAATGTGAGCTCTGTCCCAGCTGCCCTCAACTTACTGCTGCTGGGTTCTGTTGCTGCTGGGCTTCAAGTGATTCTATTTGTCTCCTTAGGGCCCTTTATCAGTGGCCACGTCTCCAACTATCTATGAGGAAACCTGCCCTTTCTGTTCATTTAGTGCCCCGCAGCCTGACTCGCTGTCATCTCTCATCTTGATCATCTTTCCATTGTTCATAATAAAACTACAAGCAGACAAACAGCTGGGATTATAAACTAAAGACAGTATATATTCATAGTTTTAATGATAATCTAGGCATATAAGGATAGTGTGGAAATATCCGATTTTTATACCTTTCAATTCTTTTCTTATTTTCCTCTAGTTTTTGATTTGCTGTATTTAGCAGGAAGTCGATATACTCCTCGGTCACCATCAATTTCCCCTTATGGCTTAGTGGAACTTCTAAGCCATGTGTGCTCCGGACAGCCTACAAAGAGAAAACCAATTTAGATACAAAGACTTAGGCACCACGGCACTGATGAGAACGAAAAGAAAGGCCCAGCCGGGGCTGGGTGTGAATGTGGTTTAGCTCCATCACAGCACATAAGTCTGTGCTTTGACATAATTGAGCTGAGCACAGCTGAGTCAAAAAAGACTAAATAAATGTTTCCATCACAGCTATTTTTAAAGAAAGGCATTCTGTATATTGTCTTTCAAAAACGAGATAATGTCAAGGAATCCAATAACTTTTAACAGTTTCAATCTCACTATGGCTTAGAAAGCTTTAATACACAATTTAAAGAAAAGAAATAAATGAAACCATAACAAAGCTTCAAGGGAAGATCAAAAGGGATGGATGCCAGAGACTCTTAATGTTGCCTGAGCTGAATACAGTTATAAGATTAAATCACACCACTTCCGTCCCATAGTGACTGCTTGCTGTATGTTTTAGGGCTTCCATCTTAGTAATCCTGCTGATGAAAGTCAATAAATTCCAAACACTGGATAGAAGTTAAGAAAGGCAGAAAAGACAAACAAACAAACACTCCATGAAAGCTATTATGAACAATAAAATCCACTTAATGAAATTTTACTGCCCCCTCTGAGGCACAAAGACACAAGAGGAATATAAGGTTGTCCAGGGCATAAGAGCTCACTTTAGAACAGAAAATAAACAGATGGGCAAAGAATGACAACATATTGGTGG